TATGATCCTGAGCTCACTGAGGTCAGTGTGAGCTTTTGTGCTGTGTGTTGGTGTAGGTCATGCCAGGATTCCAGCCCTGCACCTGAGCAGAGGGAGGTGGCTGCTGCTGAGCTCTCTGACATGCAGCACATGCTGCCCGCAGCTCCTGAGGCACCTGGCTGGAACACTTGGTTTGCATGCTCAGCCACTGAAGTCAGTGGTGGGACAGGGACACTCCCCAGAGGTGATTTGGACCTTTAGCATGGTGGCTTGCTGGAGTTGCCTCTGTCCCCTGACAGCAGATGAAGCCTCAGTCAAACAGGATCCTGCCTTCACCTCTCTGGTAACCGAAGCCTAAAGGGCTGGTGTAGCCTCTGCCTCCTTTCTAAGCCCTGTCTTAACAGAGGTTGGGATGGCCCTAGTGACAGCTGGTGTGAGCACAGCAGTGAGTTCAGGAGAGAGCTGGCAGGTCAGGCATCCTCTCTGCTTCACTGTTTTCTTTTCTCTCACTTTTGACTTTCTTACTACTTGTGCTTTGATCCCAGGGGGAGTACAGGATTCATAATGCCTTCAGCTTCCCCAGAGAAATACCTCTTTCTGCAGTACACGTGGCTGCTTTTAGTTTTTTCATCTCCAGCAGCTTCATGCAAGGTGTGATAAAGCCTCATGATCCTTCTTGACTCTCAGCTGTCTCTCCTTCACCCCCAGCCCCCACTACAGCAGCCTTCTTCAAGTACTGGACTAGGGAACTGCATCCTGCAGTGGGATGGAGGGACTGCCTGTAGAGTAACAGCAGTGTTGCCATGATGAGTTGTGTCAAGTGAGGTGCAGCCATTGGTTATTTTTACAGAAGACATAATTTCTTAGAAGCTGCCTCAAACTTAACATTGCATTTAACCTTCTCCCCCAACAATGTCGCTGCAAATTCCAAATACCATTTGTTAAAAACAAAAGCTGTATTATTTCAAAGTTGGTTGCTCCCTTATGTTTGTCCAAGGATGATTGGGCAGGAGAAGGCTTGCAAGAGGAAGTGGGTAGAGAGGTGGTTTCGGAGGGTTTTTTTGTCTCCTTAAAATGAAGCTTCTGGTGGGTTAAGAATGAAGCAGTGAGAATGCTGCCCTGTCTAAGATGAAAACTGCACCAAAGCTGAGCAGTGCTTTCAGCCAGTGTCTTCTAGTGCTGGTCTAGGCTCTGCTCATATACTGAGGGCAGTGGGATCCTGGACATGCAACAGAGCTTGAACCAGGTCAGACACTGGAGAAAGTTACACCAAACAGGTGAAATCAGGACATGGAGCTGAAGAACTGGATTGCAACTAAATGATAACTTGGGGCTTTTTTCAGTGTGTGCTGTGAAACTCAGTGTTTGAGAGGAAGGAATCTGCAGCAGGAGGAGGAAGAAAACCGGAAGAACCCAAAACAAATCTGCTGGTGAAAAGCTTCTGTGCTGCCTCTTGTGAATAGAGTTGAGAGGAACATCGGACTATAGTAGGACATCTACATCCAAGCAGGTCTTCCAGGATGGTAAGTACATTCACCATCATCTTGAGGGTGGTGGGGGTGGTCATGGAGAGATGAATGCACTCTGTTAATCTGAGGAGCTTCAAACAGCTTCGGTGGTGGGGAGGGATAGTGAAAAATCTCATCCTTGTGTTTGAAATCCAAAGTCTGGAACAGTTTGATGCCAATGGAGAAGTACCATAAGTTATTTTGGAGGCAGGGAGAAAGCAGCCTTAGTGCTATAAGCAACAGCGTTGTGTGAGTGCTCAGCAGATTGTGGTATATTAGCTTGTGCTCTAGCCTGTGAGTAGTACAAGAGCTAAGTAACTCTTGTATTTATTGCCCTTGAATGAACTTTAGTCACTGAAATTGACAGCTGGTAACACCCTGAAAGCTTCCAGGGAGCCGTTGTTAATTACTGACCAGCTATAATACTGTTCTTAAGGATTCTGGTTGAGTGCATGATGTTTACTTTCTCAAAAATGAAATTAGTATCTTAGTGAAGTTCTCATGATTTCTGTAGAGCAGCTGGGAATCTAACCCATTGCTGGTCAAGGACTTCATTTAAACCAAATGGTAAATTACTCTATTATGAGATCTGTTTGCTCTCGTATTTTAAGAGACCTGCTGCTTTTTCAAGCCTTTTTGTTAACTGTTGCTGAAAAGAGAACTGAAACAAGTTGCTTCTCACAAGCCCCCTCCTTCTGAAGCCACCACAAGCTGTAAGTGCTCTTACAGCTGCAGTGCCTTGCCCGGACGCTGCCTGGGTCACTGAATGTATCATGAGGAACACGTTAGCAAGACAACAGCTCTTGGACTCTGGTTCTGTGAGGAGAACCACCCAGGGCAGCCAGCAGGGCTGTTTGTTGTGGGCCAGCCCAGCTGGTTGGGGCAGCTGAAGAGTGTGACCTGCAGCCTGGCTGGGCTCTGCTGGCCTAGGCTAAAGGGCTGCTGCTGTTTAAATTGCCTTTCATCTCTACCCTTGGCATTCCTTTGCCTTAGTTTCCTATGGAACTGCTTAACATCGTCTCTTTTTCTCTCTTCCTTTTCTTCCCTCTAAGTTTTCTGGGTTGCACTTAGCCAGTTTCTCTCATGAATGATGGATGCTGCTGTCACACAGTTTTCTCTGCATGGTGTGTTTAATCCCCCCTCTGTGCTTGGGCTGTAAGCTCTTTGGGCCAAGACACTGCATCTTTGTACTGCGTTTAAAATGTGAGCTGGGATTTCAGGGTGTTGTGGTTCAATCCCAGCTGGCAACTAAGCACCATCAGCCTCTCGCTCCTCCCCTCCATCCCCTCACTCCAGTGGGATGGGGAGGGTAATCAGGAAAAAATCCTGGGTTAAGAAGAGTTTAATAATTGAAATAAAATAAAAATAATAGTAATAATAGTAATAAAAAGGAAGTTAACAGAAAAGAAAAAAAGAGAGAGAAGTAAAACCTAAGACAGACAAGTGATGCACAATGCAATTGCTTACCACCTGCTGACTGATGCCAGTCCCCAAACATTGATTACCTCCCCAAGGCAACTCCCCCCACTTTCTATACTGAACATGACACCCTTTGCAATACCCCTTTGGCTAGTTTGGATCAGCTGTCCAGCTGTGCTCCCTCCCAGGTTCTTGTGCACCTTCTTGCTGGCAGAGCATGGGAAGCTGAAAAGTCCTTGACTTAAGCACTAGTTAACAATAACCAAAACAATAGTGTGTTATCAACATTATTCTCATGCTAAATGAAAACCACAGCACTGTGCCAGCTACTAGGAAGAAAATAAACTCTATCCCTGCTGAAACCAGGACATAGAGGCATGGAGCGCTGACATTCATCAGGGAATGGCCAACTGTCCCTCACTGCTGGCAGCAGCTCAATTTCTCTAGGGCTGGAAGGATGAATGTTTACTTGCCAGTATTTTAAACTATTTCTCATGTAAAAGCTTGCATCTCCATCTGGGGCAGCAAAAGGAAGTGTCAGTGAGAAGTGTGAGTAAAACTGCCTTGGAAAGCAGGGACTGCTGCAGTGAGTACAGCTGATAATAACAAGCAGAGCCTGAAATGGAAACTGAGCTGTCATCTCTGCAGCTCTAGTGTGCTTTTAAGTGTGGCTGTTTATACCATTTCTTCCCTTTCTCGTTCTCCCTCATATGCTCTTTTTCCTTAGGTCCTCTCTTTTCACATCCCTCTCTGCATTTCCTGAATTACTGTTTCAGATCCATCTCCCTTGTCACCCAGGACATCCTCCATCTCCTTCATGCAGCCCCACTACCACTAGTTCTTGAGAGCTGGGTCCCACAAGAGGCCCCCTGGAGCTCTCTGTGTCTGTGCTGTGTCCAACTCCTGCCTGTTCCATGCAGTCACAGCACCTGTGCAGAAAGGTGGAGTGGGCACGAGGTGGATGCAGCCTGGACATGTGCAGCCATCCCGCCTTGCTGGTGTGGGAGCGCAGACACAAGGAGCCCATCCAGTTCAGGTCACAACTCCTATTAACGTATGTCAAGATGGATGGGACAAGCCTGTCAGGATCCTTCCTACCTAAAACCTGCAGGACCGTGGCCACCCACAAAGCAATTGCAGATCTGATATCCTTACAGCATGTTCATCCTCCAGGCTGCAAATGCCCAGTGGCTCAGGGATAGAAAGAGGTAGTCTGGGGACTGGACAAGTGATATCATCTGGTAGCACTTTCTGAAATCTGCTATACCCCAGGATGTGCTTCTTCCTTTTGAGCATGGAAAACAACAGATTATTCCTATGGAGTGAATTTACCTCTGCTGGTGCAGGGATGATTTGTAACCCATGTGTGAGGCATGTGTGAAGGTTTTGGGTTGGCCTTTTCAGAAGACAAAATAGGCAAGAGGCCAACTACCTCTGGCCTACCATCATCGGTGAGTTTGGGCACGGTTTGGTATTTGCTCTTGTTGCCTCTGCTGGTGTTAACACAAGATTTGAGCAGTACTGTCTGAGGAGAAAAAGAAGTTAACTGGTATCTATGGTCATGGTTGCAACAAGGGAGGAGAGGAGTTTATATTTTGGCCTGGTCTCTGTCGCTTTAGAAGAGTCCCCTCTGGAAGAGACACCAGCATTGAAGACAGCTTCCACACAGAGGAAGAGAGCAGGACCCTAACAGAGTCCCACAGAGGCTGACACTGATGCTCTACACCATCACCCACAGCGCCTGTGTTTAATTATTACTTGTTGGCAAATGCATTAGCTTGCAACAGGACAAAAGTGGGTGTTGGGGGATGGCTTAAAGAGGCAGTTGTTTGCACATTAATTACTGCAGTGATTTTTGTCTGTAGACAGCACAGGGGAAAACTGTAGGAACTTGCCTTTCTCCCTTTGGAGTCTGTTAGTGTCACTCAAGACCTGTAATACAGTGAGGATGTTGCACAGATCAGTACTTAAATCTTCAATCGCTGTGTAAAGCAATGCCAGCAATCTGCTTTTTCAGTCTGTAAGTGGCTTTATACAAATGTTGCTGAAAGCTTTATTTTTCCCCTTGCGTACGTTTCTGTTTTTCAGATTGTGAGAAAAGCATTAAAAACCTCCCTGATGTTTAATGTGTCCTCCAACGTGAAATTAGGCGTGAACAATCAAAAAGACGTCAAAATGGTAATTATTGGGATACACTACATTTGCTTACAAGAGCTGGACAGAAATAACAGATTAGAAGAATGACTTTATTGCCTGTGTTCAAAATCCATGTAGGTTTCGATCCTATTTGTAAACAAGTGAGTGACAAAACCTTCATTGATTTATCCAGTAGGCTGATCAAACCCTGCTGAGATCCTGCAGCCCTGGCTCAGGACAGTAAACCCTGCTCTTATAAATATCCTCACTTCCCTCATTAGCACAGCATTTATTATTTATGCGGCATGCTCAGAATACTTGGTCATCACATTGAACAGCATGGTGACAGCCAAGATGTGACCTCAAAAGAGATCTCTTACCTTAGAAATGTCTTGTAAAACCTATGTGATGTGTTAAGTCTTGCCAACATGTTCACAGAACGAAATGCAGAACTCTGAAAAATTGGTCGGATTTTTTTGGCCATCAGTGAGAGGGAGAACAAGTCAGAGGGCAAAAATGTCAGTAGGTAGTTTAGAAGCATTTTTCTCATTCAAATCACTGCCTGGTGGCAGCACTGTAGATCTTGAGAAAAGCAGAAAAATTGAAAAGTGAGAATAGAAACTGAAGCAGATACTTTCAGGGGCAACTGGTTTCTGTGCAATTTTCATACGCACCCTATTTGTGAGCCTGCATTTACAGCTACAGGCCACTCCCAGACTCAGTTCTCCTGCCTTGCAGGTTCAAAAGCTCAACTCTGAAGCACATCTTGCTTGTCCCAGGGTGGTGGACAGTCCCAGCTCCCAGGAATTGCCACTGGGAGCCAGACATGATAATTGCTGGGGAGAAATAGTTCTGCACTAGTTGGTGTCTTTTCCTCCTTTATATAGGGCAACATATAAAGCCTGGTGCAGTATGTTACAGCACCTGAGTGGCTGGACTCCAGTTCTGGATATACCAGTGGCCAGGATATTTTTTTCATCCATGTTCAGAAAAAAACACCACCAGCAAAAAAAGGAACTACAGAAGGGAAATGAAGCTAACTTACCAGGCTAGAAAGACAAGGAAATGTTGTTCACTCACCATATGGATAAATGAGTTTTGTGTAGTTTAACTTAAGTGAGACTTGAGTTAGAAGACAAAACCAGAACATGTTCAGAAACCACAAAATAGCCTTTTGCTTCTGACATTTTCAGACCTGTTTTTTCATCGCTGACTTCATGAACTTCCTCTCTATGGCAGTGCTGGGCTTGATCCCACAGCTAATCTGGTGTTATGCTTTTGGTAGTAATTTTGTAGAATACCTTTTAATATGGCTAATGATTAATCAATGTCAAACTAATCATAAGATTTGGGGAAAAAACAGGTTTTGGTATGTTGGCACAGAAACGGAATAAAACAAAACTAGAATCTTGGTCCTCCAATAAACCAACTTCTACGTAGCTCATGGTCCTCACTTTCAGTGACATATCTAAGAATACTCCCTGCCAGTGGCTGAAAGAAGAGCTACTATTCAACAATGGTGATTTGTTCACCTGAAACTGGTTGTCATCCATTAGCTGCTGTGTGAGTGTCTTGGTGATTACTTAAATCTTCTCCTATTTGGATTCTGTTCTAGTTTCAAGTCTTAGGAGTAATTTTGATGCTTGGTCTTGTCCTCATGGCTGTTTACTTCATGAGAGTGGACAATGTAGTTGACTATAAGGGAGGAGAAGCAGTTTTCAGCATTTATGAAGAGGTGGAGGAGGAGGAAGGACTCTATGGAGATCTCCCAGGAACCACAGTAATTGAGGAGGACAGCAGTAAATCCAATGATTCCTGCAGGTAGGCCATACCCTGTGGCAGATTGAGAAGTAATCACCAGATGGAGAAATAGTTACAATGCCGACAATATCAGCATGGCTTTTCTTCTCTTCTTATTGTACATATAACAAGGTATAAAATGCTGCTAACCTGGGGAAAGTGGGGGTGTTTGTTGGGTCATTAGTAGTTGCCCATTATGAGGGGTGGTAGGGGCAGTATCACAGCTCCACTGCTGGTCCTGTGCTTGTGTGTTAGGCACAGCTCTGCATGTGCTCCACCACCTCCAGCCCTCCTCCCTTTGTGGAGGCAGCAGAGGAACCAGTGGGCACAGCAGTCTCCACTCAGCTCACCCTCTTTCAGAGGCTGGAGGGGACTGAGGGTGTTTGTCCTGGTAGAGGGTGGAGAGGGTACCAGAGCAACACCCAGCTCCAAGGGGTTACTTTTGTTCTCATCTGATGGTAAAATTCAAACCACAGAACAGCTACTAAGAAGCCATCCTGCTGGATTTGGGTGGAAAACGTGTGATATGTTTGGCTATAAAAACTGGGTCTGCAGAGCACTTGCAGCTTGTTTGTCCTGCTCAGCTTGTTTGCTTTTAAGTTTGACATCAACAGTGGCTAACTGTATGGCATGACAGGTGCTTGTTTTCCTGCTTGGGTCACTGTAGCTTGCTTCATGATATACAATTTTCTTTATAGCTTTGAACTTGTGGAAAATGTTCCTTATGACTTACCTTTTGAGATAAATAGCACTGCAGCCAAACCCTTGTACCATGCCTGGACAAGACTCCTTGATATAGCCCAGGAAAAAATTCATGTGGCTTCCTTCTATTGGTCTCTTACTGGGAAAGATATCAATGTCAATGATTCATCCTCAAAGCAGGTAAGAACATCAGCAAGAAGCACATCTATGGTTGTATGTCTCATGTACATGTGGCAGATGGCAGATTGACTGTAGGATCTGCCTCTCAGGGACATTGCATAACTTCCTGAAAACCCAGGAGGGTTTTCCATGCTGGTCTGAAGCAGCACATCAGCTTTCCTCCTCTAGTCAAGTTAGATTCCATCTGAGCTCTGTCTCTAAATATTTCCATGCTGCTTTAAGAGCAACCCAGATGTGTGTCTCAGAACCACCTTTGCTCACCCTGCAGTTGGTCAGCCTGTGACAGGGACAGCCAGTAGCATGGCTTAAGAGCCTATGGGATCCCATAGATGCAACTGAACATGCTAATTCCTACTGGTGAGTTGGAGCAGTTAGGAGGCAAAGTCTGCTGGGCTTTTGACTGCATCAGGATCTGCTTCTCCCATGTGTACAGACACAGCATCTGCATTTGCCCATTTTGCACGTGTCCCTGAACTGTGCCTTCAGACAGCAGCTTAGGACATGCACTCTCCTTTGCAAGGCTGTGGTGGACACCCTGCACAGCCAGGCTTTTTGTGGGGCCTCTCTGGTCCACCATCAAAAGTAACTGGGAGAGGCCATGGCACAAACTCAGCTTCCCACCATCCATCATGTTTATTTTCCTCTTGGTGCTCTTTTAGCCTGTGGCAGCTGGCAACTTCCTGGCAGTCCTGAGCAGGGTCTGCGGGACAGTATGGGCTGGGGGCTGTTCTGTAAAGCAGAAGGGACAAGGCCACTCTATTTCAGACAGGTACGTCTAAAATAAACAGAGTTTAGACGTGTGTCAGGAATTGTGCTGCTTGCTGACAGGTCAGATGCTGGCCTGTTTATTACTGTGAGCCCAGCCTCTGCCTCCCCCCTGGAAAACCTTCCTCATTGTTCTCACAGGCTCTGTGGAACTACTCTCCTCACCTTCTTCCCCAGGTGGGTCTGGTGTTGTAAGTTTCCTCCACATGTATGTGGAGTACTTGGAGTCATACATTGGATCAGAATCTTTGTTCCCTTTTTTCTCCAGTTAAGTATTCCTTAAATAGGTGAAACTTTTGATCTTCCTTGTGTTGGGGTTCTTCAGAGGAAGCATCCATTAGCAACACTGTACTTGCATATCTCTTGCTAAATGTTCCATAGCAAAATATTAAAGAAGAAACAAACAATGTTCCTTGCAGGGTGAAGATATTCTGAAGAGGTTTGAGAGATTGCTTGCAGAGAATGTCTCTGTGTATATTGCAGCAAGTATACCAACTTTGGCCACAAATTCAACTGACCTCAAGCTTTTGGAGGAAAAAGGTAATTACCTCACTTCAGTGATGTCTTCAGACCTTCAGCAATGCAAAAAGGCATCTGAGAGAAACTGGTCTCTCTGGTGTGTTCTGACATGGTGCTTACAGGGGTTCACAGGACAGGCATGATGTGCCCATTAGTTCATGATTTCTGTATATGCTGTCATGTCCTTAAGGATTTTTCTAAGTGTTCATATTTTGTATATTTTTTCAAGTTATTCTGTTTCCAGGAATGCTTGTCAATTTTGGTAGTTATTACCAGTTGCAGATATGAGACATCCAGAAGTGTTCTGACTGTCAGGGGAGCATTACATATTGCTATCTCCATGCTGCATCTAAACTTCTTTCCCCTTCCCATCTTTCTTCAGGGGCTCATGTAAAAACAATTGATTTTGGACATTTGGCAGGAGGAGTCTTGCATAGCAAATTCTGGATTGTTGACATGAAACACATATATATTGGTAGTGCAAATATGGACTGGAGGTCTTTATCTCAGGTGAGCTCTACTGCATATTCAAACATTCAGGGGAAATGTAACATTCTAGCACATAATAGAGAAAAATCATAATGATGTAAAATTTTAACTGAGTGGGGAAAACAGCAAAGAAACCTCAGGAGGTAGCTTTCTCGAGCTGTGACATAGCTTGCTCTCTTTGCAGGTGAAGGAGTTTGGTGCTGTGATATATAACTGCAGCTGCTTGGCCAGAGACCTCTGGAAAACATTTAGTACTTACTGGGATCTTGGACATGCTAATGCTACCATCCCACTCCCCTGGCCTCTTAATTATTCTACCCAGATTAACAAGTATCAGCCTCTGGAAGTAGAATTGAATGGAGTCCTGACAAAAGCCTATTTTTCTGTAAGTATATTTTAAAATAACAAAATAAATGGTGAAGTGGCCTTAAGCATTGTCCAGAAACATTTCTTCAGCAGTCTTCAGTTACTTGTGCTCTGGATTGATAATAATTAATTGAACAGGTTTTTTGGAACTACTCAAGGAAAAAGGGTTGACCCAGCTTAGGCTATCAGGGAGTGTGGCAAAGATGGGATGCAGGTCTGCTTTATTCATCTTTGAGCTCAATACATCAATAAGTACCTGACCCATCAGGACATGGAAGGCATGAGGAACCACAGAGATCCACCTCAAGTGCTTTGTGCTTTTGTAATGAAAACGGAATGGATCTGAATATAAATGAATCACAGTCTGACAGAAAAAAAGGATTAAATCACTGACATGTATGTTTTCTTCTTTACAGGCTTCTCCTCCAGCATTTTGTCCAGAAGGTCGCACCTATGACCTCTCTGCTATAATCAGCATTATCAGTGAGGCACAGGAATTTGTCTATGTTTCTGTTATGGAATATTTCCCTACCAGTCGTTTCCTTCATCCAGAAAGGTACAGTTTTAATCCTGAGCAAATCAGTTGACTGACCTATTTAAAGAAAAAATGTACTATTCTCTCACTTCTGCCATGAAAATATTCAGAGAACTGAGGCTTGGCTCTGCACTCACAGCTACCTTGTGGACTGTGCAAGCTCTGATGCTGCAGGAAGGATGGTGTCCAACACTGCCCATCTGCTTCACGACCATTTGAGAGCAGCCTGCTGTGCCCTTCACACAGCAAGAAAACTGTGAAGTGCCAGACTAGGGTCAGACAGGTTCAGGTCCATTCAAAATACAATGGACCAGCTTTATGAATAGATGTAGGAATGGGAGAAGCAGAAATAGATTTGACATCCGACTTTTCATACAATATCTTCCTTCTGTCCTCTTTTCTGCTCCTGTTTCTCTCTTCATGTTCTTTACTTCTGAAGACTCTTGACTTCTGGCTCTGCTGCCAGTTTGATGCACTTTACAAATTGTTCTGAGGCTGATTCTTACTTGTCCTTGCCAACCTCTGCAGTAGTGGCTGAAACAGTCTCTAAAAGAAACTTCTGAGCTTTTATTTTCTTTTTCTTACGATTCCATCTAAGGACATCTAGCTCTCCAAGCATGCTGGGTGCATGGAGCAGCAGCTCTCAAAGAGAAGGTGGTAGTGGTGACCTGGAGTGATCAAGTTGTGTGTGGTGGGTCTCTGCACATCAACTAAAATCTGGGTAACACATAAAGTTAGTCAGTCATGGGACAACGCTAAGACTCCAAATCCTCTTAGATGTGCTGGAATTAGGATGTTTACATGCAAGCAAGTGGTCTGAGTATTATCTCCTTATAACATTTCTGAGTTTTTCAGTGAGCTAAATAATCTGACTGAGAAAAGTTCAAGCAAAGCAATTATGTACAACATGGCTTGTAAAGAATAGGATGAGCTCTAGGTTGCTCTTTAGCCAGAACTATACCCTGCTTCGTGTCCTCTGACAGAACTGTGCAAAGCCCCTGCTGTTCAGCTGGGAATGTGTGTGTTAGCAGGAAGGGTGTAGGATAATAGATAATTCCACTGACCTTGAAACAAAATCTCAAAGACTAGCTTTCACTTGGAGGATATTTTTTATAAATCAAACAGCTTAGAGGATTTTCAGTTTCTATGTTGTGTGGTCGAAACTGTGGGTTTCTCATCTCCTGCTCTTTGCTAAGAACAGGTTCACAGAAAGTCTCTTTTCCCCCGTAGGAATGAGTGTGTTAATACTCGTCATTCTTCATCCACCATTTGTGACATCTAGGGCCTGATCAGATGCAAAGAAGTTTGAAAGGCCTAAGGGAAGCAGCATGGGGCCTCTGGCTATCTCCACAGCAACCAGCTGTAGTGCAATGAATTGAGGCTGATTAGTTCAGGTTAGGTTCCTCCAGCAGCTGAGGCAGAGGGAACAAAGCTGCTGTCTTAATGCCTGAGTGTTAATCAACTAGAAATTGATATATTTTTAAAATGGAAACTGTTTGAAAAGAGCATTTCTAAATAGCATGTTTTCCCATTTTTTTCAGGATCTACAAGTCAGCCTGAGCCTGAAAGCTCATAGTTGGTTCATTGATTGTGATGGGATGATATACGAGGGAGGATTATAGAGAACTGAGGCCTTTGTACATAAGACAAAAGGAGTAAGTTAGGCAAATTAATTCATCATTGCTCATGGGACTGTGAGTGAGTGCTGGACCTCTCTCTGTATCAGTCCTCCAATCTGTACCAAAGATGCTGCTCTTCCATGCAGCACTTATTACAATCTATGGAATGAAATGCTACTTCAGCATTTGGAGTTATAAGTCCTGGGGTGTACATTGTCCAGCTCTTAGTGTTGTGCAGTTGAGTGGAGGAAGTTAAAATTTTTCCTATAGCTACTGCCAAGACGAGTGTCAGGAAAACAGACAGCCCCATGTTGACAAGAGCACAGCTGTGTTTGTCACCTCAGGGGCACACTAAGGAGGGCAAGGAAGGATGGGGAAGGAGCCTGTCCACACTGGCTGATGGCACAGAACTGCTGTGGACACTAGAAACAGTCTCCAGGATCCTGAAATGGGCATATCCTGCAAAATTACTCTGAGACTTTCCTCTGGGCTCTGCACTGTTCTTTCTACTTCTTGCTGTATGATCTGGCTTTACACTGGAGATGTTATTTTTAGTTTCCTCAGGAAGTGAGCGCCATGGCACCACATGTGTCTGTACGTGTGTACATGCACATATGCAGTTTTAAACTTTTTGATCAATTGCAATCTAATTTGGCAGAGATCAGAGGTCTCAAAACACACAGGGAAAATAACTGGCAGAAATCTTATTTGTATCTCCCATGAAGGCACAAGTGCTTCTCTTACCAGACATCAGAGATGCCATCTGTGCACAGCACCATTCGTGTTCTCCGTTTATTGTCATAGCTTTCTACTGAACTGTTTCAAAACCACTCCTCACCCACCTCTTTTTCTCTAGATACTGGCCAGCCATTGACAACGCTCTGAGATGTGCAGCTTTCAACCACAGGGTGCAAATCCGGCTTCTGGTCAGTTGTTGGACCCACACTGACCCAGCCATGCTCTACTATCTGAGGTCCCTGCGTGCTCTCAACAACCCACATGCCCACATTACTGTTGATGTGGTACGATAAGAAGCCTGATTTTGGAAAGACAGCTTGAGGATATGTGCCCTACACTGATTTGGGGGTCTAAGCTGCTGGTAGTTGGGTGTATGCGTACTAGGTTTTGGAGTAGCAGATTGTTCCCGTTGGTGCAGTGGCTGTTTCAAGTCCTTGAAAAAACAAGGCCCAAAAGATAACCTTTGGGGAAGCAGCTGTTGCAAGCTGCTAGTGATACCAAGGAACGTGCCCAGCTGCAGCACTTGGCACATTGACAGTTTATATGACAACTTAGTGCACTTCTCATTGACCTTTTCCTGTATGGAGTATCTTAATGCTTCAAGTATGGAATGCTTCAAGTGGGAAGGGAATGGGATGGAAGCTCCCAACATGGTGCAGTTAACAGAACAGAGAGAAGTAACATAAGCAAAAATAAATGTTTTTTTACAAAAAAAAAACCCCAAAAAACAACTGAACAAAAAAACCCCACAACAAACAAAACCCAAAACCAAAACAACCAGAAATGGAGGTTTTAGTAAGAGTTAACATAAAAAAAGTTAGGCATTATTGTTGTCTGCAGTACCCCTTGTGTCTGTGATCAGCCCATTCTAGCACAAAATAAGAGCAGCAATCAGTGGCAAATGCAGATCTATTAAACAGCTGCCTAAAACTGCATTTAATTGTCTGCCCTGTAATGATAATAGCTGTGCCACTAATGGAACATTGTGAAGCAAACATTATCCTTATCTGATCTCAATTGCTTATCCAATTTTATGTAGACTGGAAGTACTATTTGTTATTTTCCTTGGATAAGAGTAAAATCTCTTTTATAGTACATTTAATAACAGTGTGTGGAATATTCTCTTCTTTCTGTACCACTCTGTTCTTTGAAATACAGAAAAACTTGCATTGTCTAATTACTCAGTCTGTTCCTCACTCTGGTATTTCCATTAATGTTTTTAATTTCTCTCCCTCTAGAAACTCTTCATTGTTCCAGTTCTGAATCACACAAATATTCCTCATGGGAGAGTGAATCACAACAAATACATGGTCACTGATAAAGTAGCCTATATAGGTATGTATTCCTTTATTCCAAACACTTACAGTATCTTCAGGACTGTGTCTGAGCAAGGATGGGCTGTGATATCAAGGACAACCTCATTTTGCCATGCAGGGCAGATAAACTTATCAAAGTACATGGCTTTATCAGAATGTCTGCCCTGGGTAAAGAAGTAGAGATGTGAAGGGGAGACAATAATGTAGGTCAAGTTCAGCAAGAGATTATTTCTTATGCCTGTGAACCATTAAGAATAGAGCATGACAAGTCTGAGTGCACAGCCTGTGAGAAGAGCAGTAGGAGTTTCACAGGCTGTGTGCTCAGAATGATACTCAGAGCTGATGCTCTAGTGTATAATGTTATTGGGCTTTAATAAAAAGAAACTGGGAGGAATTAATTCCACGCACTGTTTGTTGAACAGAACTCTAAGAAAGGAAATGGGAAAACATTAATGTCAATTGCTGCTCCATTCCTGAAAGTCAGGATGGTGTTTATTTTTCACTCTTTCATTAGAATCCCTCAAAAAAGGGAATGGGAAGGGGCTCTGCCATTTCAGTCAGCTCATCCTCCAAGCTATGCAAACCAGCAAATAGCCTGACCTTCCAGCAGGCTGAGGATGTGCAGCTCCAACTACCTTTAGTAGAATTTGTTTCTTACTGAGTTGTCTTATGAAGATAACTTGTTTTCATGCCTAAGTACCTTCTAGAATTGACAGTAGATTTTTCTGGCTAAGGTGAACTTAGCTAAGTGCTAAATTATAAAATGTGTATTTTTTTCACAGTGTTTGATTTTCTGAAGGGTGGCAACTTTGGAGAGAGCCCTAAACAATGTCTACAGCTGGATTCCCAGCTGTGTCTGGTTTAAATGCAGCCATTTCATGTTGAGATCAGAACAGCTACTAAGGATTTATCAATCAAAGGTTCAGTTTCTCCCCCTGTTTTCCTTTAACAAGTAAAGATAATTAAGTCCATTTAGGATTTTTTTTTTCTTTAAACACAGAAACCCATATCAAACAAGGGCTTTTACCCCTCTTAATACCCAAATGTTGCACTCCATTTCCATATTTATGACGAGTAGATCTGTGCATCTTGGCCACAGGCTGTAAGGAATCGACATGTTATGAAACTTCAGGGTTGCATTTAATGCTGGCTTTCCATAACCTGAGGTCTGGAATAAGAAGGAGGTGACCTGATTTTTGCTGCTCCATTGTTTCTAATGAGACCAGCAGTCGTACAGCAAATCAGCAAAGCCAGGCAATGTGGACTTAATAAGTATAGACATTAAAGAAAACATTAGGAAATTAATGTTTTCTAATTACCTACTTTTGCATTGCACAGGAACTTCCAATTGGTCAGAAGATTACTTCATTAATACAGCTGGTGTGGGACTAATTATCACACAGAATTCAACCAACCTGCATAGAAGGCAGCTGCCAATCCAGGAACAATTAAAAACCCTTTTTGAACGAGACTGGAATTCCAACTACGCAGTGAATTTGGAAGATGTGCAGGGACAGAAAGACTGTAACTGGAAGGGCAGATTCTGAAGTGAATTGAAATACACATTTAAAACAGAAACAAAACCTGTATTTGAATCTCACTCCGCATGCAAAAGAAGGAACTTTCTTTATGTCTTTGCCAGAGAAATCACTTCCTTGTGGCGTCCACACTGTTTGATGACACAAGAACATAGTTGACTCTTCCTGAAAAATCATTAGTCAATGTGTGACATTTCCCCTTTTGTGTGATGACCTCATAGTTAATGAAATGCATACAGTGTTGTTTGACAAGCTCTCTGATATTAAAGCAAACATGGAAGATATAACTGGATCTTAATACATTAGATCATTATTCCTCTGCAATTTTATCTTAGGAAGAGATAAGTTTCATCCTTAATTGTTAACATTCCATTGTGTTTGCTTAAGTGTGTTTAAGCATTTTTAAATTCTTTTTATAAACTCCTGGCCACTTGAAGATTTGAGCCATGTAGGTAACCACCTACATGGTTGTAAAAATCATGTAAGAATTAGAGGTACAGGGAAGTACCCCTCTTTAAGCATTGTGGCCAGTTGCCAGAGCTAAATGTCTGATTTAAGTCTTGGGGGCAGCTGCTCTGGAGCCCTGCATGTCTGAGGGTGTTTGGGTGTCTGTGCCTCATGCAGCAGAGAGGATGGGAGGAGCAGGGTGAAGCTGCAGAGGCATCCCAGCTACCCCACGGGCAGTACTTGGAGAGCCTCCTCGCTCCTTTAGGGCTGTCCTGGTGCTGGCCTTGACCAGCGTTGTGTCTCCAGGCTACTTTTGACTCTGCAAACACATGTGGACCGTGAACCTGAGACATCTGATGCGTTATGTCCATATCCACCACTGTGTGGCAGCTCTGCACCGGGAGATGCAGAAGTGCCAAGGAAGGGAAAGCAGGGCATGTGCTCCTGCCACGGGGGTTGTGTCGGTGACAGGTGGCTGGGGCTCTGTGAGCCTCTCGGGAGCAAAGTACCTCTGCCTGGTGCTGGAAAGGGGGTCAAAGAGTGTGCTTGTTGCTTTGGGACTGGCGTACAGCAAAGGCAAGAGACTGAGGCAAAAGCCCAGAGCAGGGCTGGGCAGACACCCTGTCCTGGCACTCTGTCCCGAGCTGTGGAAGTGCACAGGACCTCTCCAGCCCCAAAAGGTGTGAGGCAGCTTGTGGCTTCATTCCCATCACGGCAGGGCCCCATTCAGTGGCATTTTGGTTCTGAGGCCAAGTCTCTTGCCACGGACACAGCCCTGGATAGCGGGAGCACAGGCTTCCCCATCGTGGTGCCAAGTCCCCATACTCTAGCAGAAGCATTTTGGTGCTTCTGAAGCCCTGTCCTATGCTGAGAATGACAAAGGAACCTGCTGTGATTGTCTTTGTGTGGATGGTTTTATATCTTTGTGAATACACAAAAAATCTCCATACAAATAAGGCCCTTTCCCCATGAGGTCTTTTGGAGCTGATCCCAACCAGTTTTCTGGTTTTTTTTTTCTGGTTTCCAGGGTGATCCTTAGCTGTCTGTTCTAGACACTTCCAATATTCTCTGGCTTGTTTTACCCATCGTTGCAAATCAGTGCTGGATGTTATTTAGGCAGATTTTTAAGACGTGTAGTTACATTTACAGATAACGCTGAATTTTTGTGAGTATTCACGTATGTGCAAACATTGAGGAAGATGCAGGTGCTTTGCAGTGCTTTCCTCCCCTGTTTTCTTTCTAGAGGCTGCTTAATATTTTGAGATTTCCATTCACTAATTAAATTTTCTGGCCAAGTAGAACCTCCTCAGCTGGTTTTCACTACCTCGATTTCATGGGTTTATGATCCTGTGCCAAGGATGGCATCAGACAGATTTTTCCCAGTGCAATGAGCACATGTGAATGGTGGGTCAATTTAGAAAGCTTTTTTGAGAAGTTTTGTCTTTAACCAACAAAACTATTTTCTATAGAAGAGTGCACTCCTCTAGATGGCACTCAAAACTATGTTTTCACTATTTTTGACAGGAGACATGTTGAATGAATAAGAGGAAAACTTTCTTCTCTGCTTGTGAGCTCAAATCTGAGAGTGCTGGATAAGTTTTTCAGTGGGATAGCATTTCTGTGCAAGCTGAGAGACCTGGCTTTTAGTAATGTAAGACTTGTGTGGGATAAGGTTCAATTTATTTATTATTATTATTTATTCAATTTTTTTAAGGTTCAAGGGAAAATTGATGCTTATGGAAGTGCTCTTGGGTGAATTTCCTAGCTTGAAGCTCAACTAAACCCTGGTTGCAGGCAGTTCAGATGCTTCTCAGAATTGGCTAGAAAACGTTGCTGGCCTGAGCCTTGAGCATGGATACTCTCCTCTGATCAGTTGATCTCATGTACCCGTGTTATGATGGAGTACAACTTAAGTCAACCAGCCCTGCTTTACCTGAGTGGGTTTCGTGCAGGGCTGCTGCACTGCTCTCCCAGCAGTCTTGTTTCTGAGAGTGCCTTGTGGCTACCTAGCTGGTTTATGGGCTCTGACAGGACTACAAAGTCACCTGTCTCCATTTATTAGACACCAGCTTGTTCTAAAATCTTTAGTATTATCTGGTTTCAGTTTTCCCCCTCATTACCCATGATTTTCCTGTCCCAGTTGTTCCAGATAAATCATACCTTTGGTGCTTTCATACAGGTACTGAGAAAACGTATCATCTACTATTTGTACTATATCAATATACACTTAAGATTTTGACAGTTATAAATATCTCCATAATCCCTGGAATATAGCTCTTCTGCCAAAGGCACTGACTTCCAGACCTCTGCTCTCCATCTCTTCCTAAGGAGGTAAAGTGCAGGGGCACGTGTGAATCTCTTCTCCCTGTAATCCAGTGATAAGATGCATGAGAATGGTTCAAAGCTGTGCCAGGGCAGGTTCAGATTTGCCACTAGAAAACATTTCTTTACCAAGAGGGTGGTCAAACACTGGTACAGGCTTCCTCAAGAGATGGTTAATACCCCAAACCTGTCAGCATTTAAGAGTAATTTGGACAATACCCTTAACAACATGCTCTAACTTTTGGTCAGCCCTGAAGTAGTCAGGCAGCTAAGCTTGATGATTATTGTAGGTCCCCCCTAATTAAATGATCCTCCTCCTCTCCTCTCCTCTCCTCTCCTCTTCCTCTCCTCTCCTCTCCTCTCCTCTCCCCTCCCCTCCCCTCCCCTCCCCTC